AGGAAAATTAATTTCTGTGTCCCATTTGGAATCTTTGCAAAAAAGCAAAAAATGAAACGACAAGAAACCAAAACCCCTGCATGTTTTACTGAAGTACTTTAGCTGTCAGGTGTGCAGCTGTATGTTGTAGGTCCATTCATAGTCATGTCAAATGGAAATCACCCTTTAATCATGCGAATGGGTAGATCCAGGTTCTCTGTACACTTTATCCATGAAGATCTCCACAAAGCCACATGCTGGGACATGTGGCTGAAGCACTGGGTCAGCACACGCTTTTTATGGTGTTTCCCTTGAGTGTTGCAAGCAGATTATAGGAACACACTTGTTTGCACTTATGTTTTCTATTGCTGCAATTGTCACAACCACCAATAAAAAAGTTTTAACATTGCCTGCCATTGAGCAGCAATGCATGATATTTCAAAAAGCTTTCTATACAGCTTGCTTAGGATATAGAAACAATTCTTTTTAGTTTGACAGTTACAGATTTTTAACAAGACTACCACTTTTTTACAGTTTATGCAAGTAAGTTTTCTAAATTCATATTGAAAGAGCAAAGGAATGTATTATGTGGGAAAACTAGACTTTATCTTATGGCTGTTGCTAGTGTGAAATATTTTCAGTAAATCTCAGTCTTTATGCTGTCCTTGGATCTTCTGCAGTCTCAGCTGCCACAGCTGTATAATGTACATTGATTTCTATTTGGTATTCAGAAAGCCAGAAAGCTGTTTAATCATTTGGTTTCTGACTTGCTAATAAAAAACTGTCTTCTTTAATAAGTTTATTTTAGATAAAACTACAGTCTCTGCCACAATTTGACATATTTTTTAAAGTTTTTTAAAGTAACAAATGATGCCAAGGATGAGACAATATCACTGTAATTTCTCCTTAGCAAGTGGATGCCTTTGTGATTTGCAGAGTTTTTCAACACAGAGAATGAAAGCTATTTAATCATTCTCCATATGAATTGTAAATAAAGTTTTACAATTGTCCCACATCAAGGGAAATGAAAGAGAAGAAAAGGACAGAGGCTTCTTCTCGTTGTAAGGAAACCATTCCTAATAGTGCCATGTCTATACCCAAATGAACATCTTTTATATCACTAACAGTTTTCCACCCATCACATCTCATTGATATTCTGCTTCATTAAAGTCTCATGATAGAAAAGTTATTAATATGCAGAGGCAGTTTTATATCAGACTCGGGGGGGGGGGGGAAAAGCCTCAACCCAAGTCTAATAATATAATTACTGATGTTGTATGATGGGAAATCACTAATGTGATTAGAAGTGCCTGACAGATTATAGAAAGAGATTTGATAAAGTCCACCTGGGTTTGGAGAAGTCAATTCATTCAAGTCTTGGCTACTGTGGGGAAAAGGGAGTGGAGGAAGCAGCAGGGTTGGACTGCAATCAGAAGAGCATAAATCAGTGTCTTTTAATGGGTCTAAAGCTGGCTTGCTCTTTGTAACCAGACTGTTCCGTGCATTAGGTGTTGCTCAAGTTTAGCACTTGGTTCCTGTGTGATTTGGCGCAGGCAGGCAGCCAGAACAACCACTAACCCATGGCTGAAATGCAAAGAATAAATTTCTTTCATTATCCTGCTGCATGGAGGATGCTGAAGCAACACCTGGGCAGGGAATGTTGTTGTGGGAATTGCAAGTGGGAATGTTGGCACCACCGAGCTCAGTCCAGTCCTGACAGGCAGCAGGGCTGCTGTTTGCACCCATTTATCAGGGGCCCATGCTGGGATCTCCCCTGAGCTTTTCATAATTTCCAAGCTTTGTTTTCTTTTCCAAAACAAGAAGCTCAAGTATGTCTCTGAAAGCACATCCAGCTCTCTCCAAACTGATCTGATCTCCAAAGATCAGATTCTCTGTTATCTCTACACAGAGATCCTACTTCTAAAACAGAGGATAAACAGCAGTGCACATCATATGTGGGATTTGATATATAATTAAAAAGCCATTGTTGTCTTTGAAAATCAAAAAACCTACCCAATGTAATTGGCTTTTTGAAAGCAAAATTTAGCCTTTCACTTTATAATGGTCTGTGAGGGTTTTTTCCTCCCCACCTTGTTATAAGTATCCAGTACTGCTTTGATGTGACCTTGTAACTGTGGACTTTGGATTAGTTATGCAACAGCTCCTGGTTTTGTAATAATTTGCATACAGGATACAGAAAAAAGAGTATTGTACAAATAAATTGTCTTCAGCAGTGTTTTAGTCATCTGTTTAAGAAATACTTGCCTTTGATAGAACACTTCCCTCTGCAGGAAATGAATGTGCTACTCCCCTTAAGCCCTGTTTGCACTTCTTATCTACAAAGAAGATTTCATACATCTGATCAAAGAACCCTCTTTTGTTTCAGAGTTCTGAAATCTAAAAAATATAATGTGTATTATGCTCCTTTATTTAAACATTTGCTTCACCTTGTTGGTCTGGTTGCAATTGCAGAAGATAAGCAAAAATCACGAGATTTTTTTTTTTAACCCAGTCTCCACGTTTACTATCACATAACTGTTGTTAAATTCCAAATTATCATTGAATCACAGAATGCTTTGGGTTCGAGGGGACCTTTAAGACCATCTAGTTCCAAATTCCCTTCCATGGGGAGGACACCTTCCACTAGATCAGGTTTCTCAGGGCCCATCCCACCCAGCCTTGAACCCTTCCAGGCATGGAGCATCCACAGTTTTTCTGGGTAACCTGTGCCAGTGCCTCATAGTAAATACTTTCTTCCTAGTATCTGATAATAGTCCAATATTCTTCTGGTTTGAAGCCAACCCCCTGTGTTCTATCACTCAATGCTGTTGTACAAAGTCCCTCTCCATCTTCTTGGAGCCCCTTGGGTACCCAGAGGTGCTGTCAGGTCCCTGTGGATGATGATGCCTCTGCTTGTGTTTTCCTTCTGCTGATGCTGATTCCACTGGGACTGGATCTCAGGGAAGTGGTTCTGTGCACTTTGTGGTTCAGAGAGTCTTTGAGCTTTGAAGTTATTCTGCTTTCTTCTCTAATGTGCAATTTTCATCTTAACTCTCTCAGCTTGGTGGCTAGAGAAGGAAATGCCCTTTCACAGCTGGAAAACAATTCACATGAGCAAACAAGGGCCCAAACGTGAAAGTGAAAAGAATAGCTTGCATTCAAATCCTGGAGACCCCAAAGCTTATTTCCTCCCAAACCAGAAAAAGTCAAAAGAAATCAGATTCTTTAGGTAAACATCTGTTCTCCTGAGAAAGTCTGTTGACAAATGATTTCTAAAATGTGATTTTGCAAATATAATGCAGAAATAGAATATGACTATGTAAAGCAATTATTTTGCTAAAAATTGGTATTTATACCACTGTGAGATATATGTAATAACTGTGGTTCATATACACACCTAGAGACAAACTTTATGCACTGCAGATTAGGGAACAGGAAAAAAAACGGTGGTTCAGACAAACTTTAAAAATTTCTTAATCCTTTGGATGTCTTCAGCCTGTGGGAACTATGTCAAATCCCCCGAGTACAGCATTTTGAACTGCATGACAGACTGTAAAGCCATGAAAAGGTTTTTTATCCATTCAATAAAACCTGAGGATTAATTCCTTTCATGTTTCCTGCATGAGAATGTATTATGGAATTAATATCATCAGAGGCAGATACCTGTTTCCTTTCATCCTGCTGCTAGGCAGCCCTTCAAAGAGCCTGGCTCTGTCTTCTTGAGGACCTCTTCACAGGTATTCAGAAGCTGCTGTTCAGTGCTCCAGAAGCTGGCTCTTCTCCAGCCTTCTCCAAGTGCTGAGTGGCAGCACAGCCACTGCTGCCATTTGTCCATTTCTCTCGGGGTTCCGAGGGTCAGGGTGACCCTGAGACCCTAAAGAGACTTTTCCTTCCTAGCCCAAAGCAGCCAAAGGAGCCTGGAATGCCTCTGATTGTGCTTTTCAAGGTTGTTTATTTCTTCTTATCTAAACATTCTCTGACCTGCCGAGCTCTGGCTAGCAAGGAGGCCGTAGCATTCTGCCCAAGCTTCGGGTGGCTCCCACCTTATATACTCAAAACAACACGTCTATGTTTGCAATTTATTTCCAATTCCCATCACCCATGTTAGACTGTGAATCTCTACCTTAAACCAACAGAAAAGTATCACCATCACACCCAGACATGGAAGACAAGAAGGAGGAAAAGAAGGCTAGGACACACCCAGATTCCTCCATCTTGACACCCTGAATTATATTCTAAAAAAATCCCAAAATTCTACTTTTCCACCCTGTGCTAATTCAAATATCACACTACTAAAACCCTCGTGGCTTGTAATTCCTCATACAAAATTGACAGTTTTTTTCCACGTGCTAAAATTGAAGCCACAGCTGGTTTTGACTTCATGCCAGGGTGTCCAAGCCCCCTGCCAGGGTCTCGAGACAGCCAGGGCGGCCAGAGGGATGTGCTGGACTCCAACAGCCATTGACAGCTCATTTGTAGTCTTCTGCTGAGCTCCATAATCTCTTCCTCATCACTGGAGGAGGTGAGTGAACGCTGATGGAGATAGGAGAAGTCACAGTACAGTTCCCATCTGCCAGCTGGAGAATGACCATTTACTGCTGCTCTCTGAACCCCACCATCCAACCAGAGTTTTTACTCATCTGACTGTTGACAGACTATATAGACCATAATGTTCTAACTGGGCTACCAGTGTGTAGTGGGACACAGCGTCAAAACTCTTGCTAAAGCCAAGGTAGGTGACATCCACATCCACATCTCTCCCCCACATCTACCCACAGATGTAGATATTTTACCATAGCCAGGTTGTTCAGGCATGATTTACCTGTGATAAATCCATGCTGACTGTCCCTGGTCACGTCTTTCTCTTGATGTGCCCAGAACTGTGCTCCGTGACACCCTACCAGTGTTTAACACCATCCAGTAAGAAATTCATTACAAGCAAAAATGAGTCAGATACTTAAAATATCTAGGCACCATGTAATGTGTTTTATAGCATTTTACAAAAAATGTATCAATTATCCTTTGCTTTTTTAAATACCTCAATAATGCAGCTACGTCATGTATGATATTTTCTGGTCCAATAGCAGTAATGAAAGGTAGGCAATTGAAGCTGGTATAATATGCCACTTGTCACTATAAAAGCTTTACAATTTTCATGTCTGGGAATCTCATATATGAGCTCTCATACCAAGCAAGCAGATGCCTTCCTGCTGGAGGCAGGGTCAGAGTTTGCACTGCAATCCTGAGGGTGGATATGGGTGCTTCTGAATGGTATTTACGTAGGTTCTCTGTTTTATTGATATTTTCCAGACAGCAAACATAACTGAAAGTTCTATCTCGGTGACTCCAAGATACTGTGGGTGAATGTCAGTCTGATTCAGAAATTCTCTGTGCCTCGCTGCTTTACAATTTTTTAAGTACAAGGAAGTTCTGTGGTCCTTGGGGCATGTAATTTAATCCTCCACTTTTTAAAAACTAATTTCTGCCATTGGAAGGCAAAGCAGTTGTTTTCTTATTGTCTTTCCCAATAAGTATTGAAACACTGTTTGTGCCATTAAGGCTGTGACCGAGAATCCCTAAAAGCCCAAATAATAAAATGTAATTTTTCCTTGTGATAAGTCAACAGAGGGTAAGTCCAGGTAGTAAACTAGCACAGTTCCAGGTATGCTGTAAGTTGCAGTGGCCAGAATACTTCCCTGATGCAAGTTTCATGGCATGTTCCTTCACTGCAGCCTCCTTTTCCAAGCAGGATCATTTTTCCCCACATGGGAGATAGAGAGCTCTGGCATGTGGATTTCCTAGTGTTTTCCCTTGTCCAAAGGGCAACCGGGACTCACCACAAGGCTCCACAACGAATTCAGCCTTCAGTGGCAGAGATTTAGTCTTTGGTATTTGCTTTTGCACTAGTATTGATGGTGAATGAGTGGTCTAAAATGTACTTCTGAAGCAAGGCAGTCAGGGTCAATGCTTTTTTTACTAAACTGTATATAGATATTTGTGCCATTTTTCTATCCATATGCTTTCTAAAATGAGGTGAGGAAAGATGCTGGATGTGGGTACTTTGGCAGTTTTTCTTTGTGGAGATAAACACTTTATAGAGCTATTACTAACTCAGTTACCTTTTTTTTCATGTAAGTTAAAAATACAACTCGTGTTTCTCAGATTTACATGATTTCTCTAGAATATAACCTATTGGTATGTCCTCCAGGATATTTAGAATATACCACTTTTACCTCTTACGATGGCCTAAATTAATGTCTGCCATATATCCCTTACAAATATTAATTGGTTTTACTCCAAGGATGAATTTGGCTGGTCAGTACTGAAACAAGCCAGTTCTTCATCTGAATGGGTATGTTTCCTTGAATGCTGGCCAATGCCTGATGGCCGAAAGGCAAATGAAACTTTCCCTCATCAAACAGTTCAGTGGTATCATAGGTTGACGGGGAAAAAACAATGTATTTTCCTATGCCCATTTGAGTTACTGATGATTTTTTTCAGATGCAATATAGAAGCATAAATTGTCAAAGCAAAATACAGGCTGAGAACACTGATTCTATGCTGAGTCCTTTTGAGAGGGCTGGGAGGAATTGGAGGCACCAATCATGGAGGCAGCCACTTGGCTAGGCCCATATCGATCAGTTGGACTGGGGGTAAAAAGACTTTAAAAGCCAAAGAACAGCCTTTGAAGTCCTCTAGGATTTGCTGAGCATAATCTGCATAGGGAAGTAATTTTGTTTATATTTTGAAGAACCCAAACATAAACTTAACTCTTGAGGATTTATGTTTATATAATTCATTATACACACAGGAAACAATAAGATCAGGAATTGATTACTCCTGATATCACCCTCTTCATAGCTGTTTGGACTAAGTTGATTCCAGTCATGTACAGAACTTCTGACATTTTCAAAATTCTGATTGTTATCCTGATCTCAATTTTAACCTGAAATATCACCAGACTGTCCTTTTTAGGTTAAGATAGAAAATAAGATATTGAAACCTTTTGATTTCAGCAGTCCAACTGTGCTGAGTTTTCAGGATCCATCTGTAAATTAGTTTGACTTTCAGCTTCCACTGTCCATAACATATCCACTATTCATTATCTTAACTTCAGACAGGGAACCAATATTTAGACAAAAATAGATTGTTTAACACCTAGAGAAAAAAAAAAAAAAAAAAAAAAAAAGATTGAAAACACCAGACCTCTTCCTAATTTATTAACTGTGTATAGGACAAAATTTTTATCTTTTCCAAACTCCTTCACACATCTTCCATATCACAGTTTGCCCCTTACCCTTGCCAAACTGAAATTCTGCTATTAAAATGGCCAGGAAAGTACAGGGGGGAAACAACTGAGTCTATTAACATCATCCACTTTCCTTATTTTGTGGCACATGTAGGTAAGCTAAGTATTATCTCAGCTACTGAAGTTGTAGTTTTCCAAATCCTGGCAAACTCTAACCCCAATAATATGGGGTTATAGTATGCCTTTATGCAAGAAAAAACACAACTCAATTAATTTGCCAGTACATGGGACTTTTTTATATAGAATAAAAGTATTACTTTATTGGTTTTGTGAGTTTTAATCATAATGTCTTGCTTCTGACTGGTTATATGATCACTACTGGATTGACTCCAAGCAAGAACTAGAAATGGGAGTTGTTATAACTACTCTAGGTGAGGCTGTAGCACGTTTCCTCTACCCTTGGTGTAGAGAGAAGTCAATACCACGTTATTTAATGGAGTCTGAAGAGTGTACTCCTAAAATATTTGAGACTAGGAAGATACTAACAATAGTGATTAGATAGAGGACAGAAATCCTGCCCTTTGTGTCTAGCAGTGCTGACTTACATGTTTGTTATTTGCACCATACCACTGCGTGTGTAGCTCTTAAGACACTCTCAGGCATCCAAATGCAGTCTGTATCTCAAACAGCCTAAAAAATTCAATGATGGGATTAATTCTTCTGGAGAATATTTTTCTTATTATTTTTCTCTTATTAGGTTCCTATCTCAAGTGAACAAACTACTTGATTTACAACAGTGTTTAAGAAGTTCCCTTTTGTAGCTGAAGATTCATGTAATTGCTACTTTGCAGTAAATGAAAAAAAATTCTCTGGTTCAAACTGCAATTTGACTATTTCTGCCATGTAGAGCCTATTATCAGACCCTTAATGAGGCACAGAACAAATTTGGATGAAAATGACGAAATTTGGATGAAATGGCCCTCCATCAGGGCAGACTACAAAGATCCTCCTCTTTGAGGTATTGGCCCTTTTGATGCATAAAATGCATGAAAATTTGCTTGAAAAGTGCAAGTTGATTAGTAAAAGAAAATTCACAGTAATTGTAGTGAAATGAAAAAGGAAAACAAGGCAAAAGCATTGGAAAGAATATGTTTAATTGCATGTAATTACTTGATGTGGGTTTCAATCAGGGAAAGAAGGAGAAAGGAACATGCTAAATAGTGTTGGTGTGGCAATTATTCTACGATGATTTTCTCAAATGACTGAACTTTGTGTATTATTAAAAAAAAAAGATACGGCAGCAAAAAAGCCCAGGAAGAACACATGCACTTACTTTTCCATGTCATAAGAACTTCTTTGCTGTATCAGTCAAAATGCCCTGCCATGTCTGTCATCTCATGATTTTGCATATGTAGACAAAATGAACTTTCTTTCCTGGAAACGCTGTGTCAACATGTTATTTGGGATACAAGTTTAATAATTTTAACTATCAGGGTGTAAGTAAAACATTGTGTGTGTTATATGATAGCGTAAGCACTTTGAGATTGAGCTTCTCAGTTGAACAATTTTTTGACATTTCGGTTTGCTGACAAACAAATTTGAACAAGTTGCAGTCTGGTCAAATAAAAGTATGGCAGAAGGAGAGGTAGAAGTCCAATAGAGGTGGGGCAAGGTTCCTAGCACTAATTAAAATGGTTTTATCTCTAAACAATAGGTATCATAACTCTTTTGCCTGAGGTAACAGGATCAAGCTTCAAGATTCTATTAAAATAATACACTACATAAGAGTTAAATTTCAATTTTGCTAAATTACTGCGTCTTCACAAGGCTGATTAGGAGCAGATCAAATCCACTTCCCGCCATGGCATTCAAAATTATTACTGCAAAAAACACTATATGAAATTTGACAATTTTTTTCAGTGTGAAAGCTCAGTTTTTTCTTATTTTTGTTTAAATATGTGGAAGGAATAGTTGTTTTTCTTTTAATCAGGACACTTATTGATAATCCACCAAAAAGTGTGACATCTGCTCTGCTGGCTAAATAAATTAATGAGTCATTATCAGGGATTGATGGTTAACTTACCTATCTAATGGTATACAGGAATTAAACTACATTTTAAAATTTGCTAGATTATATTTTCTTCTTACATATCACTACTGTTAAAAACTATTATTTACATTTGTCTTTTAATATATAACAGTGTCAAGATTACAAAGATTTAAGAGATCAGCCAGTCCCCACATTATAACATCTTCTGATAATGCCTCATCTTCACTGTGGAGGCTTCCAATAAGGAAAGGACAAATGTGGGAGTCTGGGACTTTCCTTCTAATTGAAAATCATGAAAGAAAACTAGATAGGGACAAAGAAAACTGATACTATCCTTCTGAGAACAGAATTGAACTCATAAATGAGCTTAGGACTGGTCCTCAGCATCTTTTAGTAATCTGTCAATGACTGAGATTGGCAGTGATTGCTGTGCTGGGCAAGAAAATTAGAAGTGAATTCTAAATGGCAAATATTGAGGAACCAGTCCAAGACTTTTTAACATGTGAATATGGGATTAATTTCCCTTCTCTATCAGAATAGTTTATTTGGCTACAATACTTATTAAAGTTTTCCTAGGTACACAAATATAACTTCATTTCAATGTGAAGGATTAGTCAAGGTCTAGCTGTGTTTTGCTTGGAAAAAAATTCTCCCTGCTATAGCTGCACCAGAAAAGGTTTATTGGTGGAATTCTCTTCTGCAGATGTAGTGATTTTTGGGGGGCTGCTTTTGGTCCTAATCTGGATTATTTCTTCTGGTGCTGTGATAAACTTTCACAGATAGGCAGGTAACTGGTAGTAATTTCCCAGTCTAATAGGTTCCTAGAAAATTGGAGTAGTAACAAAAAAATAAGCATAGCAAGATTCGGTTCTCAAAAAGAAAAAAAATTAATCTGTGCTGCATCTTTGTAGCCTTTTTTAAATTCACTGTGATGCAGCACCACTCAGCTGTGTGGGGAAATATTCTCTAGTTCAGACTGTAATTGAGCAGAATCAGACTTAGTTGGGGCTGAACACAAAAGTCACAAAAGTGAGGATAAACAAAAGAACTAACAAGAGCAAGAGAACAGACTACTTTCCAAATCGCAGAGTGCCAGCGCTGGAAAGTTTATTGTAATGGAATTTCCAGCCAGAATTTCCAGGCTCAGGAGGTTTAGTTATTTTGGATACATTTCAGATCAGCAGTGTCTGCTTGGCATGCTGTCTGCTCCTGTTGCAGCACTCAGTTTTATGACAGCGTTCTATGTAAGAAACAAGATGGCAAATATCAGCACGCCTTGGCAGCTTTATTTTAGCTGTAGCATTTTCAAGAGGAAGTTCCACAACTGTCATTCCTTATAACTGTGGGTCAGTGTCTTTGCTTCAAGTGGTTGAAAAGGATGTGCAAACTCAAGGCCTTTTTCCCACAGGCTGCAGGAGTCAGTTCAGCTGCTCGTCACTCTTCGTGTGTGCAGAGTTACAGACCCCTGGGGAAGGAACACTGTTAGCTGGAAGTTCAGCAATTAGAGTTTGCCATGAGACATGCAATGGTTTCTTTGTGGGGTTATCTTAGCAAGGTGCTCACTAGGGGATCCAAATGCTTCCACTCATGTGCTTCCAGGGATGATGTTTGCCAGCAGGGCCAAAAAACCCACAGGGAAACTGCACGTGAGCGCAATTTTGGAAAAGGCAGCATAACCCATTATATAGTTGCATTTCCTCCTGTCTGTAATCAGCAGGACTCATCTGATAGGGTCTTTCTTTCCCAGAATTTTGGGAAAGTAGGCTCACTCTAAATCCTGCTTCCTCCGTATCTGGGCTCACCCAGCACTGAGTGCTTAGCACAGAGCTATGGTGAGAGGCGCTGTGAAACTTCTGATCTCTTGCCTTCCTGCTGCCTCCCCATTTCCTGATCCACACAAGTGTTTAGCCATGACAGCACTTCTGTTCCCTTCATGTCCTGAGTAAGTGCTGGCTGCACAGTGGCAGTGCTGGAACTGTCGATGGTGCTGCTGTTGGATGGCCTCTGACATCCATCAGCTAACTGAGGAACTGGAGACCATGAATTCCCCATCTGTCCTTTCAGAAACTGCTGCACAGGCTTCCACACAACCCCTTACTTAAAGGCAGAGATGAAAATTTAGGGAGTGGGGACTGACTTCCAGCTGAGGTAATTTTACAAGGTACTGCTAGGGAAGAAGCAAGAGTTCAACCCCCTGCGTGGATGGAAAGCAGCCTGACTGTGAGCAGGTCCTGAGAGCATCTGAGTGCTTGTTAGGCTGCTGCAAGGTGGAGCTGACAGCTGCTCCTCGGGTGCGTAAAAACAGAGAAGGAACAGTCCTGGGAAACGGATAGCTGAATGTTAATTGCTGCTAAGTGACTTCTAGTGCCAAAAATGCTCAATATGGGGTGAGCTGGGAAGGAGTGAAGGAGAGAATATATTGTGGAAGGAGAGAATAAATTGCATATTGTGAATGAGGAAGGACTATGGTGTTCAAAAAATGATTTTAGCTTTTATTTTTTTTTTCCCCTGTTAATTTTTCTACTTTGGGTTAATTACATGGTAGTGATAACCCCTAAATATTTTTTTCAAGTCTGAAACTAGTACTGTGGTTATCTGTTGCAAAAGTTCTGAGTCTCTTACCAGGTTAATTTGAACATTCATCCTCACCGTTGCTCTTTTATCCCTAGGAGGAGCTGGTGGTTCTACTAAGAAAAATCAAAATCAATCTCACACTGTGTTCTTCCTTTTATTAAATTTTTTTATCTGATATATGAAGTTTCTTTTTTTGTTTCCTTTGGTCCTTCAGTGGCATAAGGGAGAAAAGTCTTTAAAAATAAATAGATCTGGGCTGAGCCTTTAATGCCTGTCCTTTTTCTGTTGGACAAACTTGCTTTCATACGTATTTTTACAATCTTTCCATGAGGAATAACTGAAGTCATAAAATGTGTCCCTTCTCCTAAGATTTTCATCAGTGAGGAATTATATTAAAATAATGAGGCAGAAATTAGCTGGAAGTCTAGAGTTATAAAAGGGAAATTGCAAAAATGAGAAGGTGTTCTCTAAGCACAAGTATCTCAATACAGTATTCATATAATAGCAATAAAATATGATCTAGTGAAGATCAGTCTGCAGAAGAAAATGTTTTTTGGATGTATTTCCCATTTCCTTACTGTGATCGAGGAAATGGCAAGAAATTCATCGCTGTCATCACAAAATGATTCTGTTTATGATAGCTCTGCTTTGTATTACTAAAAATTAAAATAGGTTCCCTGAAAAAGCCTGCTATGAACTAGTCACAGCTCACTCATCTCTAAAATAGCTCCATTATGTACCTGAATCTGGGGAATGCGTGTGGGAAGGTGAGGGGCAGGGTAAAGGAGTTCAGTGAGAATATCTGCTTCATGCTGCTCCATTGTCCCATTTACCATGGAACAATTTAAGAGAGGGTTCCTTGCTCGTTCCTTTTCCATGCAAATGACTCAGATAATCACAGAGATATCCACACAGCATCAAAGCAGAGTCTTCATAACAACTGGCTCTGTGGATATTTAAAATGCGTGAGCCAGCTCTGTCTTTTCACAGAGGAAGCAGAGAGGAGATGTTTACCCAGCCATTCTTGCTCTTTTTCCTATTCTATTTCTGAAAAAAAAGAGCTTGGTGAATAGCTCAAAAATCAGCCACTAAAATTTCTGTTTTGCAAACTGAATGGTCATATTTCTACCTCCCTTGTGCTAACTACAGCAGATGTTTGCCTTGCTGCATGTTGCAGGCACAAATGCTCATTAAAATAGGTTTCAAGCCTTCATCACTAATATTTATTAATGCTACATTTTATTATGTGAATGTTTTCTGGAAGTAAGTATGAACCTTCAGTTATAAAAGAAAAGCATAACTGTGATTTATCTGCCCAACTGCAGTTATCCAAGAAGGAAGGGTGTACATCCAAGCACCAGAACAAAATGGGAAATATCAGAGTTGAAGACAACTCCAAACATGGTCCTTGTGAGAACATCAGAATTCCACTTTCCTGCATCTGTTACCATAGATAAACTGTATGTGTTCTGTGATTATAGCTCTGGTTCTCAGACGTGCCCTTACCCCTGTGGCAAGATGTGACTGTGGCTCTTGCTCTGCTGTCTGGTTTTCCTTGGTAATGGACACAGATGCTTGGAGAGGGAGAGATGCTCAGTGAAGTTTACAGGTATCTTGAACAGGATGATTTAAAAATGGTGCCTACATCTGCAGGGTACGTAAAGAATGAACTATATTATCAATTTTCACAACTACAAGGCAATTTCTTTTTCATTCTTGCATGTTATGAATCAGGCAAGAGTCTCATTGTGATCTCATTAAACTAGAACTATACATACTAAATAAAGAAGTTCAGTAATTTGCATATACATGGAGATGGAGAAATTAATAATTCTTGGGTTTTTAATTGACTGAAGAACTGTTGGAATGAAAAAATAATAAGAAGAGTGAAAGGAGTTAAACTATTTCTGTTCCTGCTTTTCCTGTAAAATATGTGGCTAAATTAGAATCTCTGAGTCAGCATAAAGTTACAAATCTGTGTGCCCACCTAGTAAGTTTAACAAAATTTCTGCATACCATTTCCAAAAAACGTATAATGAGTTTTACTGGTAAAAGGATGAATATGTTTGGAACAGGGCTGCATTTCTGAATCTATTCAACTACTCCACATTTTATTTTTTACTTCTAAATTATTTTGTTCAAATATGGTATTGCAGCATGAGTACTAGCTTCACAACTGTATTATTCTGAACTTATTTTGTTTCTTTTGCTCTCATTGAATGCTGGTTTATATTGTACACACTCACCTGTGCTTGTACCCCAGTAGAAAATACATGTACATGTAGATGAGTATTTATATGCAAATAGGTATAAAATATACTTATAGGCTTTGGAAAATATTGCAATTGCTTTAATCTGCATCAGTCTACATGAATCTGAATATACAAAGGCAGTATGTGAATCTACAGCAGATACAGATTCTTCCCCACTGCTAAAAACATGTTTGAAGTAAACATGCCTTAATCTTGCCTTGAACAGAATCTAACTGTGATTATTTATGGAAATGGATCACATCCTCGAGATATCTGATTTTTGCAGCTTCATGGGGAACCATGTTTTCAGACTTCACAATCCTAATGTTAACTTGGTTTGTTTCTGTGTAAGGATGTCTGAGTTCCAGGTTCATTACACAGTAAAATAAGTAAGTTCTAGCAATCATCAGTGGACAGAAAATTCCCTTGGAAAGCAGCAAAAGGCTGCAGAAGGCCCTTAAAAATAAATGCAGGCCTGAAGCAGCTTGTAGCACTAGTGCTATTTGTACCTTTAAAAATACCAGTGGTGGTTGAAGGACATAAGCACACAGTCTGTAAGTAGAAATAGTACAGCTTTGTAAGATTTTATTTTATGTGAATAAGCATAATTGCAAAATACATTTGCCTATGCATATATAGATTAATTTTAAGACTAAAATAATTTCTGAATGTAAAAAATAAAGTGACAGTTCTATTACATTGACTGACACTTCATTATTTGAATGCCTAATGTGCATTTTGCTTTTGGATAATTAGTTGTCAGTTTGCAAAAGCAATTACATTTTAAAGGTTACCAGTGTTTTTCCAAAGGGTAACTCAGACTTTTTATCTGGCGGCTGAATTGGTGTTCAGATCTAAGTACAGACTTGCACATAATGCATTTTTTCCAGAGGGATATGTATGGCACACAATGGGCAGGATTCATGTGTCTCAAAAATAAAAAATAAAATAAGGATTTATAATAAAGTTAGCACGTCCTGCCATGCCAAGTAGTTCATCTGATTCACCCCATGCTACCTGAACATATTGTTTCCTGCATACCTGCAGAATTTCCCTCTGTACTGTATGGATTTAATTGTTTTGCTTGTGTTCTTGCACAGTAGCTGGTCTCATGAGGCTGGAATGGTTCCCCCCATTCCCACCGACACTGCCAATTCCATAAATGATTCTCTTTTGCTGTGCTCTGTTCTTAGGGAAGGTTATTCTTTACCCTTCAGTACAGGTTTATACATTCAGCTGAAGGATGCAAGCACAAATGAGGGAACTAAAAGCTAACAATAGCTAACAAAATGCATTTTTGCTTTACAGGACACCTTGTAAGGATAGATGCTATGGGGTGTGTCAGCCAAATAAACACCCAGCAGAGCTGGGGACCCAGTTATAAGTGTGGCAAACTTCCTGGGAATTTATTGTTCATAATAGTCTTGAAAAGGCACAAAGGTGAAGCAGCACCAAGAGTTTTGTGCAGAAGTGCTTTCCTGTAATATGCAGAAGTAACTACAACTTGATTTCTGCCAGAGGAAGGCTTGGTGTGCTGCTGGAGGAGTGCACAGCCACCAAGCATGGGAAAAAATGCCAATCAGAGTGGCAGAACATGCAAGTGCAGCTTTCCATCCAGCCTCTGGCCCAGCTGTCTGCAGGAACTCTCTTCCATACCAGGCTTTTTTTTTTTTTTTTCCTGAGATTTCAGAAGTGATTCTGTACCACAGTGGGATAAACCCAAAGGTTTTTCAAAGCTTTCTTTGAGAAACAAGATGGAAAGAATATCCAGTGGTAAAGACATTCTCCTGTGATGTCAGGTCTCAAAGTGACATTCAAATTGGACTTGAGTTTGGCTTTTTTGAGACGCTGATGTTTTTATTTGTGCCGGAGATTTTCAATTTGCTGCAGATTGATATTCCTTGGGAGAGCCCATGTGAGATTGATAACAGCACTCACAGAAGTCTGGTGCAAACATACAAGTCCTGCAATCTTCCAGGTTTAGAAGATTTTGGGACTGTCCTAACAATTGTATGGATTTTATAGTACTTCCAAAAGGCATTGGTTAAATAGGAAGGGTACTTACCAAACTCTTTTCGCTTATCATTGAGGTGGAGTTGGAGCCAGTAGCTTTTAACCATCAGAGCAGAGGAGGGAAGTTTGCCAGTTTAAGGTTGTTTGGATTACGATGAATAAACTCCCTGGCAGTGCTGAGGCAGAGCTGATGATGGCTGCCACGTTGCTGGGCAAAGAGCAGTGACATTCCTAGTGCCCACATTTGTTAGGAATTTGTGTTTCTTTCCCACTGGAAAGGTGACAGCATTGGCACTACGTACCCAGCTGGCTCAGTGTTGAAGGTGAGTGGCTGTTGTGTAGCTCCTAGATTTTGTTTGGAAACATGTTCCCTAAGGACCTGGTAATGCCGTTGAATCTTTCTGAGCTTCCTGCAGAAGTGACTGAAATCTTAAATGTAACTTCCTGCTTGGATTTTGTTGCAGGTTTTTCCTCTCCTCCTGTTTCCATAGGACATCTCTGTGGAAATACAGAAAAGCAGGCAAACATTCAACCTTTTCTTAACTACTATTTATACTGCCTCTGCAAATGATTATCTTAGCTATATTCCCACTTTATAAATTACTTATGTAGTTGGGTTAAACAGATTCACACACAACATTTGTTGGTCAATTGCCTTTTAAATTATGTACATTTCTGTAATTAGAAAATGTAATTTTGCTTAATGCACATACAGGTTTTTTTTTCCTAAATCTGCCCTTAATATACCTGGAATTATGAGTTTTGTTTGTAGACAGAAGCTAAATTGAAAAGAGTTTTCCTGTTAAAAGTCTATGATTCTGTAATCAGCAAGACAGTTTTATTTCTGTATGTGTGAGGTGTTCACTGAATTATGGACTGAAGAGTCAATGGACACGCAATTAATAGACAGGAAAATCTTGGAAGCCAAATGTGTTCACTGAGCCAACAAAGAAATCTGTATGTTTATTAAAAGAGCAAAGAATGGATGTTATAATGTTAATATTATCCTAAGGCTCAATTACTCATGAATTTACTACAGTTCCAGTAAGAATGTTGAATTGTCAGGAAAAGGAATTCTTGCACAACACCATAAAATACCCATAACACGAAAACTCATTTTACAAAAATAATTGACCTTTGCCATGAAAACATTAACTAAAGATATAAATATTTTTGCATTTGTTTTCCCAACAAGACAAGGTGAAGATTAATCTGACAACAATGTGCATGATGTGTGTGTGATTGCTGTCATGGCTATGATCTTCTCTTTGGAGATGTCCTTGAAAAATTCACAAGGTAAAGCTGTGACTTCTCAGGTTATGCAGAAGCTGATGTTTCTCTGTTAACACTGATGTGTTCACACTGATTTTCATCAGATAGGTTAGTATTGTATTCTTATTGAGAGCAGCACTGAAACAAATGAAAAAGTAATCTCTACTTGAACAACATTTAAAAATGTTCTTAACCACATTCACCTTTGAATGTTTTGCCCCAGATTCACATGCAGACACAAATCATGGCCAATTGTACTTTTTCTTCTTAAACATAAATTTTTTTCCATAATTTCCTTTTATAACTATAATTGAGTTGGAAATTTCAATATCTAAACCAGTTGTTAGAAGCTCAATCTTATCAAGTATTTTAAGGGTATTTTAAGTGTCATGCAAGAAATCCTTTTCCTGACAAGTCAACATTCTTACTGGAATTGTAGTAACTTACTGTGTGGTTTCATTATCCCACTATCCTTCCTGTCTGGTATATCAAGTTTTAGGGAGAGAAATGAGAAAATTCAGTGAATTAGTCTTAGCAGTCAATCTCTACTAAAGTGCAAATTAAAATCTATTTAATTGAAGTGCTGCAGGCAAGTGTTGTGTCTCTAAATCTTTACTTTTTAAGGCAGGTAATAGCCCCGCTAGAGGGGATGTGAGACGAGACCTCATGGTCCAACTGGAGCTGATTGGTGATGTCAGGACTGGAGGCAGCCTGGGCTGTGGGGATCACTGGGGAGTTTGCAGTCCTAAGTGATGTGGGCCAGGCAAAAATACAGTCAGAACCTTCAATTTTAAGAAAGGAAACTTAAGAAAGGAAACTTCCAGCAGTCCAAGGAATTAGTCAGTGGGACTCCCTGAGGAGCTGCCCTCAGTACAATAATACAGCCTGGGGGGTGGAAGGATTCAGAGGGGCCCTGCTGGGACTTGGGGGGGGACTTGGGGGTCCTGGTGATGGCAAGCTGGACATGACAATGTGTGCTTGCAGCACAGAATGCCAAGAGCATCTTGAGCTGTATCAATTATGTGGTAGTGATAACACCTAAATATTTTTGCAAGTCTGAAACTAGTACTGTGGTTATCTGTTGCAAAAATTATGAGTCTCTTACCAGGTTAATTTTAACATAAATCCTCACCCTTGCTCTTTTATCCCTAGGAGGAGCTGGGGGGTTCTACTAAGAAAAATCAAAATCAATCTCACACTATGTTCTTCCTTTTATTAAATTTTTTTTTACCTGATCTATGAAGTTTCTTTTTTGTTTCTAGAAAGTTCCCTGCATTTTCACTGGAGAAACATGCTTAACTCGCAAGGACTTGCCAATGTGTTTAAACTGGATCTGAAATGCTTTTAAATAAGTGTGAAGTGTATTGGATTGACTTTATTTTTCTCCCTCCTTTGGATTTCCCACTGACTTTCTTGCTGTGAGAAGTTTTTCCCTCAAAACTGGTGATCTGGTTATTCCACCAAGGAAGGCTATGTATTTCCCTTGGAAATGGATGGAAGATTGTGATGTTAAATCTGACCTTCCTGTTACTCCTGCCCTCCTGACAGGGTCTCCCACACCCCTTTCTGCTGGAAGGCTATGTCATCTATTGACGCCAAAAGTTATGAAGCTTATTCTGATATCTTGTTGAATTTTATATTTATTTTTAGGTCTGTACCTATTTACATTTGTATTAATAGAAATATGTTTAAGTAAGAAGAGATATTCTTTCTCAGCCTCAATATTCATTGACTAATCAGATAATTTTTTTAGTTTCTGCTCCAAAGTAGGTTTTCAATTACCATCAACATCTAAAAAGGCCCTTGTACTTGTTTCAGACCAGTTTATCTATTTGTAAAACACTAATTGAAATCTCATCATTGCTTGAGCTGTAATAATATTTCCAAGCCTGTTGTAAAGTATATTTACTGTAGGAATACCAGTGATATAAAAGTAATAGGTAGGACATGCTTTTCTAAATGGACATTACATTGTGTTCAGTCTTCATAACCACTTTTGCATTTCTTGGTAATTTTTTGTTATTTAACAGTCATTCTCCTCCTTTGTTATTTGATTGATATGTTCCAAGCTTATAAAAATTTTGGAGTGTTTGCTCAGAGGTTGAACTTGTACATTGCATGTTTGAACTTAATTTCTATTTCAGGGTTTCCAGCATGAAATATTTATTGTCTTGAAGAGTGGAAATACCTCCTAACTGTATATTGCCTGCATATTATTTTGGGACATTTGTACTTTTTGTTCCAAGGATTGGGAATGAAAATTTAGTTTTAGAACAGTCTTCAGCTGCAGCCAGATACTCCTCTTTCAGCTCTACCCACTGTATTTCCTCATGTTTATTTTTAGTTCTAATCCATAATATGTCCAACCTTGTGTGACACTGTAAAATAATGATCTGGACTACCATATGCTGAGTCTGACCTCAGCATAATGCAAGGACTTAAAAGAGATCTTGAAGGAAGAGATAATGAAGGCTGTTATAGGCTTGGGATAATTGCTGTGGGTGAAGGATATGCACCAGACAAGTTGTAATTAAAGAAACAGAGATAAAGAAAAAAGGATAGAAAATGAACTAAGGATTTGCCAAAGACAGATTGTGTCTGAATAATCAGACAGCTTTCAGTGTGCTAACTGATTTTCTAAGAAATGCAGTAGATTAAATCTATCTAGGCTTCAAAAGTTTTTATGAATCCTCTGTCTAGAAAATCAATAGTCATATTTGGAGTCTGCTGCCATGAAATCCCTACAGCAATAAGGTTAGAGCTCCTCTCTGCTCCAATAAGGTTAGAGCCACTCGCTGGTTTCAGAGTGGTCGAAGAAGAAAATTATTCCAATTTTTTGCCTCCTTCTTCCAGAGAGGAAGGTTATTTCAGTTGTCACTGCCACTTGGGGTGCATGTAGGGCCCAGAATCATTTACTTCTGCTCATGAGTGCACTTTTGCTGTACTGGGGAGCCAGCTGTGAGCATTTTTGGGTAATAAATATATCAGAAAACTTGAAGAAGTAACTAAGTAAGTAGTTTCTTGTTGCAAGGCGTACTCACAACAGGATCTTTGTACTGGAAAAAAACCAACCAGCTGCTGCACACCCATGCACTCTTGTCACAGTCTTTTCTTATTTGTGTTGGTCCTCTTTGCTTCCCTGTAGCCAATGTCCCAAGTGCACCTTCGCTGATGAATCTCATTTTAGAGGTTCATATTACTGAATCAATCAAAATTGACCGAGGCAGGAGTGCAGGAAGCTATGTAGTCTTTACTCAGCTGCTCTTGGCACTGTAGTTCTCCTGTATGGTTTTTCAAAGCTTCTGGTAGTGGAATCCATCTCCTTCCTCTGTGAAATATTTAAATTTTTTTATCTATATTTACGGATAGGAAAATTTTATTTTAACATGTCATCCAAGTGTCCTCATAAATTCTTGTCCATTGGTTGTTGGCCTTGTCCAGATGAATATATATAACAATTTATTCCTTTCCTCTTTGTGGCAACCTTTTAATAGTTGCAGCTGTCTCCTCGATTGTCTGTAGTCTGGACTAGACCGAGAGGTTTTCCTGGTTTTCACTGTGTGTATTTCATCTCTTCTAGAATTTTGATTATTTTTGGTACTCTTCCATGGATTTTCTTAAATAGAGTCACAAATTTTTTAAGGTGAGATGTCCCAGTCTTGACCCAGGACTTCAAGTGTGGCCTTATTTGGATTATGTAAAGTAGAAGGGTTACTTTGACTTTATTTACTTCTACTACTATTTTTTGTGCATTTCAGAAGAATTATGCATTTTTCAAGCACAATACTACTGAAAATAAGTAAATAAAATACAGCTTGCTTAGGATAGGACATTTTCCCAAGCTTTCACAGGAATTTACAAATACCATACTAGAAAAAATGGCTAACATGAAATTGTGTATCTCAAATCCTTCAGATTTACCATGGACTCCAAACCCTGCTGACAAATGCTGTTTACAGAGTTCCAGCAATTTATTACTGAAATGTTATCCCTAATTTAAACATGGAGAGATATACCATAGTGTCAGGCCTCACTAGACTAAAGTAAGATTAGCTGGATCAACAATTCCCTACCTGCCACTTCCTTGATCAGCATTGCTATCAATAATTCTGTTTGCTGGCATTAAAATGCAAAAAGGATTTCCACAAGAAATCATAGCAATATAGCATAACTTCCAATTAGCAAACACAATTAAGTAATTTATTAAAATAAAAGAAGCCAATACAGAAGGTGTGATGGGAAAGTGAAATATGGTGCTTTACAGGTCCTAATTAAATATTTGTGCTGTGGTTCCTCCCTGTTCAGCAGTACTTGCTCCTGTTGTGATGGCTGAAGATGTCCAAGTTGTGTTCATGTACCATTTATAAGGAGAAACAAAGGAGGAAAAGGGATAAACTTAAGAAAAGTCAGGGGTTTTGGTTTTTTGTTTTTTTTTTTGAGAAATTGCACAAGAGGTTTTGAAAATCTTGTACTTTTTTCCCAGAAGTCAAAAGCAATAATTTATCTAGGGGAAGTTGTAATTTTTGTTTGTATTGCCAGGTGCTGTACTGACCTAAGGCAGTTTCTCCCAATCCAAGTTGCAATATAACAAACTCTGTATTTTACTAGCTACAAAATTCTCAAAGCTTAGAATGTCTTCCTGTTTTATCCTTTCACAGATCCTCAAGGAGCTGCCAGGTGTACTGCAATACACAGAGAGTACCTGACTTCCACGAGCTCAGGGTGCTACAAATGA